ATTACTTGTTCCTCTCACTTTATTTTTGAGTCTTTTCACACTTCTGTCTATAATTGTATTAATTCCTTGACTATTTATGTTCTCCATATTCCTTAGTTTTGTCTGACCTATACTCGCATCTCTTGTTCCCTTTAGGTTTGGGTTTATGTCATTTCCTTCTGATTCCTCCCCCACCTTATTACTTTAAAGCCTTTGCTGCAGACCTGCTTACCCTTTCCATTAGGACACTGGTACCATTCCAGTTCAGGTGGAGCCCACCCCATTGGTACACCTCCTTTCTGTCCCAGTACTGGTGCCAGTGTCCCATGAAAGGGAGTCCTTCTTTCCCACACCAATCCTTTAGCCACACGTTAACTTTCCTAATCTGTTTCTACCTATTCGAATTCGCACACAGCTCAGGTAATAATCCAGAGATTATTACCCTCGAGCTCCTGTCTTTTTATTTAGCTCTTAACTCCTGAAACTCCCTCTGTAGCCATGTTTCAGTGAACCCTACTATATCTGGTTTCTTACTACAAACTCACTGTTCTTACCTATATTGTTTGTCCCAATATTGACCACGACAACTAGATCTGTCACCTGCCTTTCCAAATTCCTCTCCAACTACCTCGGAATATCCCTTACCCTGGCACCAGAGAGGCAACACACCCTTTGGGACTCTCGTCATGGCTACAGAGGATGCTATATATGCCCTTTACTATTGAATCCCTCATCACTACTACATTTCTATTCTGCTCCTCCCCCCCCTTTGGACAGCCTTCTGCTCCATGGTGCCTTGGATATTGACATTGACATTGTCAATATATGGTGACATGGTGCCATTGTGGCTGTCCTCCCTGCAGTCTTTCTCCTTGTGCTCACAGGTATAAAGTACATTGTACCTGTTGAATAGGACCAATGTCTATCTACCTCTCCTAGGTTCCCCCTACACTGCTCACTGACAGTCACACACTCCCCTTCCTGTACCTGTGCTTTCCTCTGGGTTTTGGATAAAACTATCCAGAAATTCCTCCCCCTTCCTTATTTGTCCGAGTGTATCTAACTCACACTCCATCTCAATGATTCTGAGCCAGTGTGTGTCAGGCCAGAGACATTTCCTGCAGACGTGATAGTCCAGCACAGTTTCACAGTCCACAAAGTCCCAAATACTGCATTCCCAGCACACTGTCATTTCTACTTATTTTATTAGTTATTTATGTAATTCACTTTGCATCTCCCTCTGCACCTAATTCCCCCTCTGACCCATTTCCTTTTCACTCTGTTCCCACCTCACTTCGCTGAGCTCTCTGCTCGAGTGAGACTCTTGCAATTCTCTCCTTGATAAACCCCTCAGACAGAACCAGTTCCAACTGGTCAGTTAGCAATTAACAACTAGTACCAGTTAACTGCCAACTGGGACTTGTTATTCTTAAGTTAAAATTTTAAATTTCAGTTCCCACTCACCCAATTCTTTCTCATTGTGGTCCCACCTCATTCTGTTGGGCTCTCTGCTCGAGTGAGGCTCCCACAATTCTCCCTTTTATATACTTTTCAGACAGAATGTGATAGAAGTATCACATGTACATCTATAATCGCATTTAACACAGCCCACAAACCTACAGCCACAGATAAAACAGCCCACACAACTACAACTAAAACAGGCTACATACCTACAACTACAGATAATGCAATCCACACACCTACAGTCAAACTAACATAATCCATACACCTACAACCACACCTAAAACAGCCCACACACCTACAACGTCAAACACAGCCTCCACACGTACTACAACAAGTCACCACACATACACCTACAATAGCATCTAACACAGCCCACACAACTGCAGTTATGGATAACACAGCCCACACACTTACAATGTCAAATACAGCCCACACACCTTCAGTAGCACATAACACATTACACACAACCAAAGCAGCATCTAACACATCCCATAACAGATAACACAGGCCACACATCATGTAACACAGCCCATAGATCTATCACAAGATCTATCATAACCATCACAGCTACAGATAACATAACCAACATACCTGCAACAAGCTAGCACACAGCACACAGCTACAACAACTAACACAACCCACACAGCTACAGCTACAGATCACACAGACAACACACCCACAGCAGCAGCTAATGAAGACCAGACACCTATAACACAATCACATAACACAATCCACTCAACCAAAACCACATCTAGCACAACCCACACGCCTACAACGGCTACGTACATACAACCACAGATAATACAATCCACACATCTACAACCACAGCTAACACTGCCGACACAACTCCAACATCCACACATACTGCTACAGGTAACCACCCATACACCTATAATTGCATCTAACACAGCCTACACACACACAGCTACAGATAACACAGCCGACACACACACAGAGACACACACAAACACCCACAGCATCTAACACAGCCTAAACACCTACAACATTTAATACAGCCCACATACCTACAGCTACAGATAACACAGATCATACAACTATAACCACACCTAATACAACCCACAATTGACTCCACAACCAGAAGAACAGATGTGAACAGACGAAGCAGCAGGAATCTAAGAGATCCCATACTGACAAGTACAATTAAAATAATTCATACAAGACATACAAGCATGAAAACATAATCTACTCCAAAATTCCAATTGGCAGGACACCTGAAATCATGGAATGCTGCTGCAGTTCAGACTCAACTAAAAAAGTAAGTTATATCTACATGTTACAAAATAATACCTAACCATTACTCATTTGAATGTTTTTAGCATACCAGGTTGTTAAGCCACAGTAAATTACTGCTTGTCTTGAAACTCATAATTGCAGACAAGGAAGTGTGTTCTTCATTGATACTTGTAGCACACAGTATTATTTAACTCATAAATCCAAGCATCATAAACCACTCAGTTTTATCATACATATTCACTGTGGCATTAAAGAAAAGTAGCTGTCACTTTCTTTGCTAAAAGTAAGCTTGATGTCAACATAAAATAAATGAATTTGGAATGTTTTTATCAGCTTGGGGGTCTGACACATGTGGAAACCCATCACCATGCTTAAAAGTATCCAAACCAAACTAAGAATTCCATGCATCCCACCTATACATGGAAATTCCACAGATGATTATTGGAATAGAATGCACACTTTCTCTCTGGAGGAACACATCCTGCTTACTTAACTCCGAAATGTATTAGGTGCAGTTGGCAAGAGCCAAGGCTTGGGGACCCCAGAGGGCGCATTGGGATACTGCTGGAGTCTAACCAGCTAAAACCACATAGCTTGCCATTGAATACAGTCAATTCACTTTACAGTGTATTCTGTGAAGCGCTTTGAGGTATGAATAAGGTGCTATATCAAATGCAAGGATTATTATTATTATTATGATTATTGAAAGTGCTGCTTGGCAAGCTTTCCTGCTGATTTTACAGCTAAGACCACACAACCAGTTAGGGCTTTGGTTTGCAGGGTTACCAGGAGCTGAGTGGGTATAGTCACTACCCCCAGTGATTGGTCTGTCCTTCGAGATCCTGCCGATGAGCTAGGCTGACTAGGCTGTCGTCAGCAGTACTCTGGAATACTGCGGACACGCCTGGCTCAGAAACTGGACTACTGAGACCGCCACCGAGGGTAGACTTGATTCTGACCTTGATTCTGGAAGCTCTAGGTGTGTGGACTGTACTAAATGTAACCACACCTAACACAGCCCTCCCCACCACCATCCTACCCCCACCTGGGAGGCTAGTCAATTGAATTTTATTTTAATTAATTTGCAAACCTTTTAATGTACACAATAATTTGAACATTACAGTTGCCCAATTGAAATAAGATACATGCTGTAATATTCACTTTTTAATGTTTTCCAGTGCAACAAAATATGGCAAAATTAAACAACAATAACTAGTATAAACAGAAATATTGAAACAATTGAAAATATTACATATGTACAAGAAGATAAACCTATCTGTCAAAAAGCTAAAAGAATTCTTAGTGAAGATGGTTGCTGTGAGAGCTGGGATTGTTTCTGTTAAGTATCACTGGGCTTTTTAAACTAAATTTGAAAGTTTTTAAATATTTACTTTATAGTTTTTTAATGCCAAACTTTATTTCTTTAAATTATCTTTTTGTTTTAGGTGAATGTCAAACATGGGGAAATTTACACTATCGCTCATTTGATGATCTACAGTATGATTCTGCTGATAATTGTACTTATATCCTAGTGGAAGAACATGTTCCAAGGTATTATTTCTCAATTGCAGTGGATAATTATTTTTGGTTTCCTAACCACCCCAAATCTTGTGCAAGAGAACTAATCGCATCATATAAAGAAAATGTTATAAAGCTTGCAAATTTCGAGGAGAATCTGGTGAGTTGCATGTCTTTCTCCTTCCAGAACCAGCTATAACATACAGAACCAAGATAACTATTTTACAGCTAATGATTTTAATAATTTGTAATCTACCTTTACAGATAACTTTTAATGGAAATAATATTTGATACAATTTGAATGGAGTTGACATATTGTCAATGAAACATATTGTGTTTGTTTCTATGCCTGCCATTGGAGGAAACTTAATTGCTTTAGTTTACTTTGCAATTCACATGTCACAAAAGTATTTTCTGAATAGTACCCAGGGACAATGCGGTATGAATTAGGCCATTGTAAACCACTAAACATTTCATTCATTGTATTGTTAATAATAATAATCCTTGTATTTGATATAGCACTTTTCACGTCTTCTAGACGTCCCAAAGCGCTTCACAGAATATACTGTAAAGTGAATTGACTGTATATTTGTGGGCGAACTCGACAGCCAATTGCGCACAGCAATGTCCCACAAACAGTCATGGATTGAAAATGACCAATTTATTATCGTTTTTGTTTTTTGGAGGGATTATTATTAGGCTCTGTGTGGAGTAAGGAAATTTGTCCAAGGTTTCGCCCTGTCTGGAATTGAACCCAGGTGACTCACTTGCAAAGCGAGTGCTCTAACCACTGAGCGACAGGACTACACTACAGGCAGTGAGCACAAGTACGGTTTGTTTGTCTCCATGTCTTTTTCTGCCTTCCCTACTTTCCTGTCTCTGTCTGCCTCTCTATCCCTATCTTGGGCAGCGATTCCTTTCACTCAGCTCCTGTTATCCGTGCAAGCCAAAGCCCTAACGGGTAGGGTTGTCCTAGCTGGACAAGCAGCGAAAAAGCTTGCCAGACAGCGATATCAATGGTTTTTAGTGGTTAAGACTCCAGCAGTGCCCCAAGCCTTAGTTCCTGCAAACTTGCGCCTAACACTTTACAGAATTGGGTAAGTAGGATGCGTACCTCCAGGGAGAGAGTGCGCAATCCATTCCACCAATTTATCTCTGGAATTTCCATGTGAAATGGGATGCATGGAATTCTTGATCTTAATGTGATGGGTTTCCACATGTGTCACCTGGCTGACCCCCAAAAAAATATCCCTAACTTCTCTGGCTTTCAGTCTTTTCCTCTTTCTGTCCCCTGCATACAATCCTGCACATTCAGTTGCTCTTTCCCATCTGTATTTTCTCAAACTGTTTTGATTTCACAATCACTTTGTCTAGTTCTTGTCAATTGTATCTTGTATAATAGCTTTCTTACTTCCCACTCACACCCTTCTCCCTTACTCACAGCTATCCCCCTCCTTTTCTCACTCACAATTTGTCTGATTAGAATATTGTTTGATAAGATTTTGTCTTCACTTTCAGTTTTCTGATACCTGAGCTGCTCTTCAGCTCTTTTGTAGAAGGATGTTTTTTGCCCGGAAGGAAAGATGTACTCTGAAGATAAATCCACATGTGTTAGTTCATGTAAGTTGTTTTGATCTCAGTGTGATCTAAAACTGCTTGATGGGTCGTAACCAGATATTCACAGGCTTTTACTGCATTTACTCTAGAAAAAGTTAGATCAGTGTGTTACTTTTAAGCATAACACCATGAATGTATCCTCCTTATTTTTACAGGTTGTAGAGACAATTTAGGAAATTAAAGAGCTGTGAGTATTCAAACTATGAATCCTTTTAAGTATTTTACACTGATTGCAGTGTAAAATATATACATTTATATAGTACCTTTCACATCAGGAGGACATTTCAAAGTGCTTTACACAGATGGGGGTGGGGGGGAGAGACAATGACCAAAAGCTTTCAAAGAGATAAGTCTTAAAGGCAGGCTTTAAAAATGGGAAAAGAGGCCAGGAAGTTGGAGGGACAAAGTTCCAGAGAGTGACGACAAAATGGCAGAAAGCTCAGCTGCGAAAAGTAGGACAGGTCAGGAGGAGACATGAAGCAGGCTGGTGTTTACTGAAATATATATATACACTCATATTACAATATATATTACTATATACTACATTACTATATACTATATATTACTATATATAACAATATATATATAATATATACACACACATAAAATATAATGAAATTATATTCAATTATGATGTATACCTGCACACAAATACATCAAGTCATTGAGAGAATTGTGTTCTACTTGTGATGTTGATAACCCAGGATACTTTAGGCTTGCAACTGAAGAAAAAAAAGTATTTTTAATGTTTAAAGTGAAAATAGCAACTGGTGGAAATCTTGAGTAGTAACCAGATTTTTACAGGCTTTTATTGTATTTACTCTAGAAAAAGTTAGATCGGTGTGATATCTAGAAAAGTGAGCCCGTGTTTTGGGTGTGACTTTCATCAGAATATTATAATTCTCTTTCAGATGCGGATAAGTCTGTTCAGTATTTCAAGCATTTTCTGTCTTGTGTTTCCAAGGAGTCATAGTTTTTCTATCAGGATGTGAGATTTTGTTTTCAAAAATATTATTGAGTCCCAATTAACCTGTTATTGCCTTTCATTAAAACTACTATTCAATGCATTATTTAAATCATAATACAAATGTTCATTAATAACTATTTCAGAAATTTCTATTGCCTATGAATATTGGAATGGAGTAAGAATGTCTATGTTCAAAAGACAAACACAATAGGTTAACCACACTCCTGCCTTGTCGCTGAACCCATACTTTTCAACTCCGATGTTCAGCTTGCAGTTTTGTCATTTATTCTGCGTTCCTTCAAGATACTAGTAAGTGCAAAGAGCATCTATAATTCAACCTCATTGATCCTTAACCTTAAAAAAACTCTCAGATCACATGTCCCTATCCAATTTTCTTTTGTCCCCTGAGGGGACAAAAGAAAAGATTTGGTTGTCTTACTGCTTCTTCATAGTTGCTTCATTTAAAAATCCGGCATAATCATTGTTGCGCTTCATTAACCCTTTACCAATACAGTTTCTGTAGTTTTTTTTAATACGTAAGAGTTAAACACTACTCAATTAGGTTTGCCCCTAGCCAGTGGAAAGTGGACAGAGAAAGCAGAATGGGACATGTGTAGCAACGGGCCATTTAACTCCTTCTCTTGGTCATGCTGGTCTATTCCAAACTAAACTTGATGAAATCCTCTTTCTTTGTCCATTTTATTTTGCCCTTTTAAACTCCCTGTTCTCTTCATTCTCATCATAGAGATTAATTACAGTAATAACTCAGCATTACATTTGGAAGCTGTCAGTTACTTTATTTTTCCTAGGAAGGAGATCAATGGAAGAATCCAGAAATAACTGCACTTTACAGTGCTTCAAAATGGAAGTTATAGAATTAGTAGGAACAACTGATTCCTGTACTGAGGTTTGTAGAGTTAATTATTTACTTTTAACTGATATCTTCCTCATCATGAAAGAACAAAGTTCAATGAAAATTGGCATGGTTTAAAATATCATTGCACTATTTATTAGACTAATGAACCATAACTATAGGACATCTGATCATAGCAACGGATTTACTGAGGATGCTGTAAAGTGTAACTTAACGCTAATTCCATGATCCAGTGACTCCCTGACTTCCAGTGGATATCTTTCAACATCACTTCATTTCTAGCCCCTCTCCCTGTGAATTTCCTCTGCCCTTTTACTTTTACTTTTTTTTTTACNTTTTTTTACTTTTTAATTTTTACTCATCCTCTCTGTACAGTGGCCAAGTCTTCTGAAACTACTGTCAAATCTATTGACTGTATTTGTAGGCTAATGTGGTGACCTTCTGCATCAGCAAGGTCCTATAAATAGCAGCAAGATAAATGGCCAATTTAGGGAGAAATGCTTTGAATGATATTATAGAATTATTACCATCTCAGTTTAACATCTTATTATAAAGAAAATGAACATAATTTTCTATATTAACAGTTAATTCCCTGCTTAGAATTCCATCCTTCCTAAAATCTAATGTCTGGTATTTGTTTTTGTTATAACAGTCAGGTCCATTTTCAATTTGGAATATTTTTCATTTTAACAATTTATAAGAGGAAAAGGGACCCAGGGATGGAGTTCCAGCGTGGGACAGAAAAACTGAATGCCATTAATGGGGCAGGCCTGGTAGGGAACATGGCTAGTGTCTTTCAAGCAGAGGGAGCAGGCAGGTTGGTAAAGTTTTAGTACGTTACAGAGGTAGGGAGGAGCAGGACCATGGAAGGCTTTCAGTGAGGGCGAGGGTCTTAAACGATCTTCTGGGGCATGGTGTTAGTCGATTGGCAATAGCTTTCGGGGGGTAATAATCCCTTCCAAAAAAAAGCATAATAATTTGGTCACTCAATCCATGAATGTTTGTGCAACACTGTTGTTGCAAATGGCTGCCACATTTCACCTTCAAAATCCACTTTACAGTATATTCTGTGAAGCGCTTTGAGAATATTCAATGACATGATAAGGCACTATTATCAAATGCAAGTATTATTATATCATTATTATGGGGAGCCAGTAAAGCCAGGTGAGGATTATTATTATGGGGAGCCAGTGAAGCAGGTGAGGATTATTATTACTATTATTACGGGGAGCCAGTGAAGCCAGGCGAGGATTATTATTATTATTATGGGGAACCAGTGAAGCCAGGCGAGGATTATTATTATTATGGGGAGTTAGTGAAGCTAGGCGAGGATTATTATTATATTATTATGGAGAGCCAGTGAAGCCAGGTGAGAATGGGGACGATCAGCTCCTGAAGCTTGCTGAAGGGAAGACACAAGCTGCAGAGTTCTGCATAATCTACAGCTTGTGGAGTGAAGTCCAACAAGCAGGCAGTTATCTCAGTTAAACCTGGAGGATGAATGTCGTGGCAGCATGAGGAGAGGCGGTGGCATTATTGTGGAAGTTAACCTCATACCTATGGATGATAATCACTGAGCGGGAGCATGTAAATATTAAAGAGGAGATGACCAAGGGCAGAGCCCTGGTGCGAGGATTGAAGGAGAAGCTGTTAGTGAATACAAAGTGGAGATGATGGGAAAGGTAAGAGTGAAACCAAGCAAGGACATAACCATGAAGGTGGAACTGAGAAGAGAGGTGGTGGAGAAGAATAGAGTGGTCACCAGTGTTGAAGGGGGGAGAGAAGTCAAGAAGAATGAGGAGACACAGAGAGCCCTGGTCACAGATAGATAGAATGTGATTCCTAATTTTAACTAAGGCTGTATCTGTACTGTGGGCAGGACAGAAACCGGAATGGAGGAGTTCATACAAGGAATGACGAGAGAGGAAAGAGCGAAGTTGGGAAGCAATGACTAGTTCCAGGATCTTGAAAAGAATAGGAAGATTGGACATGCAGCAATAGATAGAGAAGAGAGATTGGTCAAGGGAAGGTTTTTTGTGGGTGGGGTGATGACGGTTGTTTTTAAGGGGGAGGGAACAGTGCCAGTAGATAGACAGAGATGAATGATTTCTGTTACTTATTGAATAATAACTTAATAGGGGGGTAAGGACATGCAGCTGGGAAGTGAGGTGTAGGGATAATATAATAATAATCCTTGCATTTGATATAGCGCTTTTCACGTCGGGAGGACGTCCCAAAGCGCTTCACAGAACACACTGTAAAGTGAATTGACTGTATATTTGTGGGCGAACGCGGCAGCCAATTGCGCACAGCAATGTCCCACAAACAGTCGTAGATTGAAAATAACCAATTTATTATTGTTTTTGGAGGGATTATTATTAGGCGTGTGGAGTAAGGAAACTTGCCCAAGGTTTCGCCCCCTGCCTGGAATTGAACTCAGGTCTCTCACTTGCAAAGCGAGTGCTCCAACCACTGAGCTACAGGACTCCATGGGATGGGGTTCAAGGGAGCACTTGTTTGCATATGCCCAGAATTCTCCTCAACCAACTCTCTCCAGCCAATTTGAGCAAGAAATATAAATCATTCTCTCACTCCACTGATCGACAACAGAAAGCCATGTTCTATTGTCTCAACATTATAAGTTCTAAAACTCTCTGACAAACATTAGCACATTTATTTAGAATGTCCCTTTTTTAACATAATTTGTTGTGTTCCAGAAATAATGTAGATACAAACGCCATGATACATGACTGCCATTGCTGCCAGGAAAAAAAGAATGTGAAGATTAACTGTAAATCTGGACATATTTTGCATCAAGAATTGTAAAGAATGTGAAGAATAGTATAATCAATTTTAATAATGTGCCTGCTGACTTAAACATGGTAATTTATTTCACCATATATATAGATTTTGAAATATATATCAAATCCAGTTTAAAAAAATTGTGACCATAATTCACTTTATTTGCTTTTAGCTAAATATTGTACAAAGAAACAAATTAAAATCACATCTGAAATCTTGAATTGTGAGATAGTGGGTTCTCTGCAGGATTTCTGTTGCATTTATAACAGTCAGCTAATGCAGGATTAAAAGTTAAGATGAATAAAAATGACCAAATTCCCTTTACAGAAGTCAATTATTAACTACAATGTTTTAATCAAAATTTGCAATACAAAATATATGTTCACAATTCATCTGTGAGGTATTTACAAATTTCAGATAATTACACAGCTAATCTACTTTAGTCTAATTGTCTTTGTGACTTCACTATTTGTAGTTGTGAAACGATTTTCCTCTGGTTATGGAAATAAAGACTGAACTAATAAATTTTGGACCAGTTTTGGTAT